TGGTTTTAAGCAACAGCTTTGAAGTAGGGGATTTTGAGGGAATTGAGACAGCAGCACCTGTTGAAAAAAAGGGAAAAAAACTGTTGCCTTATTAAAAGCAGCCCCCTGGCCCCTCCAAATTCTCATTCAGCTCATGAAATGACTTTTAAAAGGCATAGAGGGTCTCCCATCAGAAAGCTCCTTCTTTAACTTCACATCTATATTTTTTCAGCCGTGATAGGCCTAGATAAAAGTGACTCGTAGTTTCCATTTATACAGTTTGACAGGGGATGAGTTCATTTTAGACTCCGCTCATATTGGATCAATATGGGGCTTTTTGCATAATGTGTGACACTTTTGCTCACTGATGCATGCTGAGCTTTAATCTGACTGGAATGACACTCAGTAGTTCACATACCCCATCCAAGGCCAAACAATCCTACACACGTCTGTGAGATCCAGGTTGTCATCTGGATCTGCAAATTGTGCAAAGTCATAGATCTAAACACCATAAATACATCTGAATTTTTACATCAAGATCCAAATATTCTTTACTGAGAAACTGATGGAAGTGTTGAAAAATCTCACAATGTTAGGGAAAGTGATAAGAAAATATTCCTGGAGCTGTCGCTTTAACCAGATTGGCACAAAAATTGTATGGGTCCTTCCCTGGCCCAGCACCCTCCACCAAGTTTGATGCAAATCAGTTCTGTACTTTTTGCACAATCTTGCTGCCAAACACAAACAAACAAACAAACAAACAAACAAACAAACAAACAAACATGGGTGCAATAATAACCCCCTTGACGAAAATCAAGCAAAGATTCTGTCTTGGAAATGTATTTTTTCCTATCAAGACAGAAAATGTTTGATTTGCCTTGTCAACACGTGCATCTTTTACTTCAAAGCGCTCTGCACTAACTTGTCGTTTACAAAGGGATAAACTGACTGTAGCCTTAACCTTTATCCTCCCTACTCATGATGTAATTCATCTCACTTCCAAACATTTATTCCAGCTCCGAGTCACGCAACATATTTCACCTTTCAAATGAAAACCCTCTCAATCTCTCTCGTTAATAAACACATTGCAATGCTCATTCTTCTCCACCTACACATTGTACGAAGCTCGCTGATTCCGTGCTAATGAGATACTTTTCATAATTAGCTTGAGATCTGTTTCCCAATCAGACAGACAGTGAGAGGCTAATTAATCACAGCACATTAGCCAGCCTGTATGTTTACTCGTGTCTATTTGCTTTGTTTTACGGCAGTGGATGACTATGCAATATCGCCTGCTGTTTTCAGAGTAATGGGAAGCTGTTGGATTCAGAGAAGAACGCCAAGGTCAGAGATAACTGATTTTTATTAATGCCTTGAGAAGTACAGGTTTGTAAATGCGGCAAAATTAGAAATCAGAAACATTGTTTGTTCAGGAGCAGGATGATTGCTGTCAGTCAGAACACAGGCGGGAATGCAAAGTACTCAGAGTGTGAGAGAAGGCAAACTGCATACGACACATCAGAGCCAACATAAAGGGTTTAACATAATTTATGCAGCATGAACGTGCATGTGTGTGTGTGTGTGTGGGTGTGTGCGTGTGTGTTTATGAGGTTTTATGAGCTTGTCTTACCCACCACTGCTGCTGACTGAGCAGCGTGTGCATACGCGGGTCACCGGTGAGACATTAGCTCAGTGTTCAAACAAAATCCGCAGGGCTCCGGGGACCAGTAAAAGTGAAGGATTTACACATGAAAAGCGTGTTACGCCACGAGGAAATGTTGTATGTGTTTGCCGGCAACAGAAAACCAGGAGTGACTGACAACCAGCTAACCTGTGTCAAATAACAGCGTTCAGCGCGGCTTTTGCCCATTAACCCTGCTGACCTGGCACTTTATAACGCTACTCAGTACAGTGGTAGTAGCCTCCAACAAAAGACACTCCATCTTAATAATCTAATGGACCACTGAGCTGGTCTCACACATTATCCACTGCTATGGAGTTCAGAGTACACAGCCTCAGTTGAAAAGGCAGCAGAGTGAATATTTCAGGATGTTCCTTACACTTGCACATTGTTCAGGTTTAGCTCCCATTGTCAACGGAAGTGAATCATAGTTAGCACAACATAACTGTTATGAATTCACAGACCACTAAGAATCTACCATATGCTTTTGCTACATTATAAAAGCAACCTTTTTTTTTTTTTTTTAATTAAAATCTTTTTTTTTTACCAAGGCCAAACTCTTACAGCTGTTCCAAATGCTCACGCTCCATCAGGGTGAAAAGCCTGTCATCATCCAGAGGTAAACGTTGCTTAAATAAGTGGATAACGCTGCATTCATGCCAACAGTCTTTCTAGGAAGACATTGATGATGTTGTGCTAGTTTGTGCAGACAAATTCAGTGACGGAAATAGTTGTAAAATACAGATAGCTCGGGAGAGTTCAAGCCCACTCTGAGCTTCAAAACCAGTCTTCTGAGACCTATGGGTGACGTCATGGAGACTACGTCCATCTTTATACAGTCTATGTGTTTTAGTTGCTTAACTGTGACCACACTGTATTTGCATAAACTGAAGAACAAATATTGTATGTATATTGAACTACATACTTGGATATTGTAGAAATAATTCATTAAACGACAGCTGTTCAAAAACCTTAACATTAAACCTAATCTGGAGTTTTGCATAATCGCCCTGTCAACACTGTCAGGTGTCAGGATTGTTTCTGTACCAAGCTGAAGCATCACTCTGGTACTTTTCACTTTTCTGGCACAATTTCAACAACATGACTCCATGTATAGCTGTCACTGGAATGGAAAAACTCAAGTTGATGACTGACAGTTCATGCAGGCACTTGTCAACTAATAAAACTATATGTTATGACAGACTAGAAGCATATGCTCACAACAAGTTTTGCTCATAGCACATGTGACTCATGAATAAAAACAGTCCTGGGTGTAGTAGAAAGCTAAAGATGTCTGTTTTCTTGATGTTATCTTTTGCATATGGCTGTATCACCTACCTTTTAGTATTTTATTTGTTTCTTAGGGCGAGACACCTGCATTTTGTCAGACATAGTCACGCATTCATGCATAAAACAATGAGTCTATCTATACCTGTACTTTTCACTCTTTCTGACATGCTGTCTCTGAGATTTTGAAGCTCATGAGCTGCTGCAGCGCTGCAGTGATGGCTGATGTCAGTCTTAGCCAAGCTTTCAGGCACAGCACTGCCACATTTCCTGTTGTTCCAGACCAGTGAGTGCGGTGACGGTTGCACCTTGCTCAGCAGTCCGAGACGATTACTGGACAGGTTTGGAGTTATGTAAAGGACAAGCAAAGGAAATAGTCTGGGCTTATCGGTATTTTTCTGCTGAATTAAACTGGATCTTGAGGTCCTTTCAGGTGAGCACAGATGGGAAATTCATTGTTTCAAATCGTGCATATTAACAAATAATCAACATTAAAATGTTTGCCAGATATACTGTATATATGTGCATAGCAATCACATCATTGAAATGTGTGCAGTGTTAATTATCCTGAAGCAGGTGGTGATTTTATGAGGTTATAAATGAATATAAAGGTGTTTTTTTCCCCATCACCCATTGAGCAGCATGACCACCATCAGTCAGACATCACTTGTCAGTACCTTAAATGTACTGTAATTAAAACCTGGCCGGCCTAATAAATGAGGCTTAACCTCTACCTGAGCACTGCCCTGCCCCGCCGCCCCGGCTGTTCGCTGGACGAGTGCAGGATTCACCTCTACTAATTACTGGATAACTGTCTCTGCCCTGAACTGTATCTGCCTGGTTGGAAATCACTGTTTAGGGAGGTAAACACATGAGGGTGACTGGTGCTGTGTGTGTAGGTCTGTTGGCACAGCTCAAAAAGGTGCACAGGGACAGAGGTAAGATGCACAAAATATGTGGAATGTGGATGAGAGGAAATAAAAGAGGGAAGGGAGGTGATGTTAATGTTCTTGTTTGTTAATAAGTCTCATTTAGGAAATCCAGGAATACCCATGTGTTCTGCCTGCTGTGTGTGTGTGTGTGTGTGTGTGTGTGTGTGTGTGTGTGTGTGCGTGTGTGTTTGTGTTTGTGTGTGTGTGTGTGTGTGTTTCTCATTGTGTGGCTGTCAGTCTGTGGAGAGCCAAAGGACATATGCTGGTCAGCCAGCTACCCTCCCTACTGTCTCATCATTTTCTCTCTTTCTCCCTGTAGAGTGGCCATTACAGTGAGCCCCCTCAGGCCATGCCACAGCATATGCACACACACACACACACACACACACACACACACACACACACAAACAATGAAAAAATGTTTTTAGTAAGCATACACACATGCACATTAACACACACATACACACACAAACACTTCATCTCCATCCATCCATCCATCCAGCCCAGCTCGAGGGCCTCTGTGAGTGGGCTCCAGCCCCCATGCTGCAGCCCCATGCATGGGCCTTGGCCACATTAGCAGCCTGGCGGGAGATAGGCTGGCCGGGCTCGCCAACAGCCTCCAGCTAACGTCCTCCCACAAGAGCTGGCACCCTTTAGACGAGCTGGAATAGTCACAAAGTGGGAAGAATCTAATCCGGTTTGACTTTTTTTTTTTTTTTTTTGCAGTGTCCTCAACCACCATGGGCCTTATTTGGGCCACTCTCCACTCTAAATAAATATGAAATATGAGTCCTGTATGTGGATATGTGCTTACTGGGAATTATTGGATTAAATGGTTGCAGCACAGAGGAGTAGCACTAAGAAAGAAAAAAAAAGCTGTGATGCAGCAGTTCTACTACATGAAGCCTATTTAAGCTCCTTCGGCGTGATATCACATCACATCACATGACAGCTTAATATGGTTTATATCCTTATTGTAAGTAAATCCTGCAGCTACGCTTCCCTGTGAGGATTAACACCTGAGTCATTGTTAACTGCCTCCACTTGGTCTGAGTTTGCCCGCCTTTACCGCTGTTGCTTAGTCTCCGGTTAACAATCGCTAGGACTGAGATGTGCCGTACCTGCGTAGGGGATGGGGGCGTCTTTGTCCAGGGCCACCAGCGGAGGATCCAGCAGAACGATGTCAGTGTTTTCAGTGATCACCCCATGGTATGATGTCTCAATCCACGGCTTGTGTTTATTCACTGCAGAGACAGGAAGCAAAGTGTGAGATGTCAGGGAAATACTTGTGCTACAAGGTACAACAGAAGTGTCAGTCTTCATGCACTGAGATATACATCTTCAATTTCACTTCCCCTGTAAAGCTGTCCATAGGTAAATGATTTAGACATGCACACACACAGACAAATACAGTGTGCAGAACCACAAATACATGCACATTTCACTCTGTTCTTAGCAAAGCTCCTCCAGCCTCAGCTTCAACAAGACATTCTTATTTTGCTAATCTCCCCACCACCACCTCGTCTCTCTCTTTTCTTCTCTTCTTGCTCAAACATCCCCTGCAGGTTTCAAAGTACCAGTGCCATGCTTGATCAATGACCACCACTGTGCTGCCAGTAGAAAACTGTATCCAGGGCCAAGTCTAAACAAAGTTCATGTGCTGAGGGCCTGATTAAGGGCCATAATTGAGTAACGGCCCCCTGGGCTGTGTGTGGCACCATGCCGGCCCACTTGCCATTTCTTCCCCCATCTTACAGTCAAAAGAAGAAGAAGAAAAGAGTGCTGGAAAACAATTGCAACCCTCATGTCCTTCTTAGTGCATTTTAGCTGGGCCAGAAAAATTACAATTACACTTTGGGCTGCTTTTGAAAGTTCAAGTTCAAATTGATGGATTGAAAATGACACAAAGCAATGCTGTAATTTAAGGTCCCCTGAGAAACATCGCTTAAAAAAATACATATTACATGCTTGAAATGAAGTGCACAAGCAATAATTACTCTCCATTCAGCGAAAAGAAATCCGAAGACTGTGGATTCATCCTAAGTGGGCCCGCTAATCAAACTGCCATTGTTACAGACCCCCTCAATTATTCCCTGAATGCCAGTAAAAGCCACTTGGCAACGCTCAAATGTACTCTTTCCAAACAACCCAAACAGACAAACGTTACACCAGACGTCACACTCATTTATAATGTGAGCACAAAAAGAACACTTGTGTTGTTGCTGTTGTGAAACAAATGCAGCTGCATTTTATTTTATTCTCATCATTTCCACACAATGTTTTTGCTGCTCTTAAAATCTAATTAGTGATTTCTAATCAAGTGACATAGGAGGTACATCTGCAGCTGCCAGACAGTGGAAGAGCTAGTTCTGTTTTGATTAAATAAATAAATGTATGTTGACTTATTTGTGTTGAGGAGGAAAACAACCATCCAAATATACCATCTAAATTGGTGGTATAATGACGTCCTTTATTGTCACAATAATCTGTCTGCTGCAGCCATAAGTCTGACTGCACAGACCACCACCAACCAGTTGAAACACATTAACACTGTATGGTCACACTGTGCATGAAAATGAGTTAGCAAACATGACGAAAAAACTAAATATTTAGCTAAAAGTAATGAATGGTTGAAATAAACAGCCAAAATGAAAGCTACATGAATTTAGTTTTGTTTGTTTTCCTTCTGGAAATTGTTTTTGTGTCTGTGGCAATTGTCAGACATTAGAGTTAAATACACTGGACAAAAATATAAACACAACACTTGTTTCTGGCTCCCACTTGTTTTATGTTAAAATTAAAGACTTTTTCTAAGCGCAGAAAAAGACATCTTTTTCTAGTTTCTAAGTTTTCTTCACAAATGTGTTTAAATGTGTTTAATCTGTTAGTGAGCACTTTCCCTCCATCAAGATAATCTGTCCACCTGACAGGTGTGGCATATTGAGATAGTGATTACACAGCATGATTATTGCACAGGTGTGCCTCAGGCTGGTCACACTAAAAGACCACATTAAAATGCGCAGTTTTATTTTGAAAAAAAAAAGATTTATAAGTTACTGAAGAGAGGATTTCACTTGACTTGCGCTACAGATGTGCATTTCTTTTTTTTGTGGATCAGAAAATAGGTCAGGATCTGGTGTGACCGCCATCTGTCTTATCCAGTGTACAACCCCTCTCCTCAGTCAGAGTCGATCAGGTTGATTATTTGGACCCCTCCTCGTCAACGGTTATGCAAAGTCGCTAGACATCGGCAGGAACCGGATCACACCGTCGTGCACACAGATTCAGTGTGTGTGTGTGTGTGTGTATGTGTGTGTGTATCCTTTGTGTTTATAGAAAAAGTCTTAGATTTTTTATTTCTATTTGGGAGAAAAGACATGAGTGATGCTTTTATATTTGTATTCAGTGTAGATAAATTGTTGAAAGATTCAGCTTCTGTCACTTTAAGTGTATGAAAAATTACCATCACACTTTTTGTCATGAACCTCAACATCCATTTATATCAATACCTTTGCGACATGTTAGATTGTTTTTTTTGTACTTTGTATATTAACAGCAGTAAACAGTAAAAACACTTAGAAAGATATTGTGAGTGTGATAAAGGGACCAACCTAATTGTTTTGTTATTACGTTTTTGAGGACTAGGGTAGCAGCAAAAAGCTAGTGAGACCTGGGGAAAACATGCAAACACTCCAGAGATACATATTCATGAGTGTCAGCAGAAAGCATGGCTAAGAGCCCTGATACAGTCAGAGGAGATCATTTACAGGGGAAGAGAGATAGGAACACATTAGTCTATTAGGACGTGATAAATATGCATTAGTTTGCTGCAGCAGTGAGGGGTAAAATGATAGGCCTACTGGATTTCAAGTTTTAAATGCCAAACCATGTCATTTTGAGAATGAATAGCTTGCTGACGCTGCTGTTCAGGAATTTCAAGGGGAAACATGATGCATATGCGTCATCCCTGCCAAAGCTACGAGCTAAGAGACGCACAAACCTGTCGAAAAAAGGATCTTTTGTGGGTGTTTTGTGGAACATATTGTGATACGGAACAATTAGCACACGCGGCTCTGGAACTAAACAGCAAAAAACTGGGAAGTGTGTTATCATAAAGAAAGATAGAAAGCAAAAGATTTGAAAGCAGCTGTAAAAAAAGCTAATCTGCTGCTCCGTCTTGGGACAAGTGCACAACCCCAATAAATGTGTAATACACGGTATAACACTATTTGAGCAGAATGCGTGACAGCTAATGAGGAGTCTGGAGAATTGAAGGCACACAGCTAAGGAGCACTCTTGACCTTTAAATCCTTGAAGCATTAATGCTGCTCACCGTGACTACTTAGCAGAGTCAGGCTGACCTAAATGCTCCGTTATCAGCATAACCAAAACATTTTTTTATTGTGAGCGCACAAAGTGATCCAGCTGCAACGCCTCGATACAGCAGCTTTCTCTCAACCGACACAACTCATATAACGATAGTGGGAGACAACTGAAAAGCACATTCTCCACATCGGCGACCTTTGTGATATCGCTGGTGCACAAGATCGGGAGCATCTTTCCATCAGTCAGCGTGACCTAGCTACAAGTTAACGACATCTCAAAGCCTCGCTGGTCTGTGTGTGTGTGTGTGTGTGTGTGTGTGTGGGGATGGAATGGTTTTTCACCAGGAGTGATGAGGACATTAAAGGAATCGCTGCAGTTTCCCGATGGGGTGCCACCTACATGTCAACCCCACCCCTAACCCAGGGCTGCAGCTCATCCAATCTCTGGCGAGAAATACAACGCTGACGGCGTCTTAATAGAATGGGGCCCGTGTACTGACAGCTTGAGACATGCCCTCGAGTCATTATCACAGAATGGATGGATATGCTCCCCTCTTCTTGCAAATAATGCTGACTATCAGAGGTTGAAGAGGGGTGGAGGGGGAAGGTGGGAGTGGAGATATGAGCCAGACCATCAGTTCCAGAGGTTCCTAGGGGAAACATTGAAGCCACGATTGAAGTCGCAGCTGCAAGGCCTTGACACTTAGTGATAGTTCCCTCCTCATTCCTCAATGGCCACTCGAATCAAAGCTAAACACAGTTAATCCACTCATCAATATAAAGGGAACATGACACCACGCACCGCCAAAGCTCGTCTCTCATCATTTCAGTCTGCAGGTAGCGTCAGAAAGAAGCACTCCTCACACTTGCTCTCTTTGCTAAAAAAAAAGTCTTCGAGCCACGTTGTTGCGGTAACCACGCACACCGATGAGAAGATTTGTCCTTTTGACACTTTGATTGAACTCTGCCGCGCTCATCTACACCTCAGCCTCCAGGCTTCAGACATCCTCTAACAGGATGTGTGCTTAAAAACAAAAAAAAAAATCAGTAAACACACACACACACACACACACGCACACACGGGGAAAAAAAACGAAGCCTGAGAAGCACTCCGAGTGACCCCAATTTTTAAAAGCAAACACCTTCATTGGCTACTAAAAGCACTCGGTAAATGGCAAGCGATAACCCCTGTTTGTGAATGGAGGGAGGTCGACTTGCCGGCTTCTTAAGGCTGAACATGACTAGCTGAGACGCAAGGACTTTTAACATCGTGAGGACAGAGCAGGAATAAAACACACTATTTTCTCTTTTATATGTTAACAAGCAGAAGAAACTGCTCTTACCAGACTGTTGTGTTTTCTTATTTGGACCTGAGCTGTGATTCAAACACCATGACCTTTTGCCACTGTGTCACACATGGGGAAAGCAGCAGGGTGAATTTAGTTAACTGGCTTCGAGGCAGACTAGACAAAATTATTTTTACTTTATATACTATCTCTCAGAAAGCCTGTAACCTTATTTTAACCTTTAACTTTGTTTTTTCTTCATTTCTTTTAATAAGAAGCAACTTTTACTGCCTTCAGCTGCACTATATTCTCTGCTCTAGCAACTAAATTAATAAAATGTATTACTCATGTGTTTCAATAATAACCACAGCCTTGTAATTTTGTCTTCTCACAAATGAGTGGAGTTAAAGGCCACTGAATCATTTTTGTTCTTCAAATCCATTTAATTATGGGGTTTGAGGGATACACTTATCAAACCTGTACAGGCTAATATAATCAGGTTGTGTGACAGCTGAGAGGTGAACGCTGGAGCTCGGCTGCCCTTTACCGCTGACTGCTGGTCAGCGGGACTATCTCCCTCCGTCATTTCACTGTCAATTAAAGCAAGAGTCCTGGGTTTGACTCCAGGCTCTGAGCATGGCAGAGGCGCTATAATGGCTGATTAATCTCTGACCAGGCAAAGGTGTGCCACCGTAACTGTGCTGACGGGTGCCACCTTTTACGGGGCGGGTGCCGCAATCAGAACAGGCCCCCGGGGGGACAAGGGAGGAAGAGAAACAGTTGTAATTAAAAAGAAATTTGTAGGAAATTAAACTCTGATTGATAAGGTCAACAAAAGGGGCTGTGATGAATACATCAGCATAATGAAAAGTAAACGTAGCAGAGACAGTCAGCCATTACTGCAACCAACAGGCAATTACAGCTACATGGCAAGCTGGGAGCTGCTGCCAGCGCCGAGAGGCTCAGAGATGTCCATCAGCAGGTCACTGCAAATTATCGAGATACATCCCCGGCTCTGCTAACGTCGAGCTGGCGTCTCAGCTCTCTTTTTTTCTTCCCACTCAACCACTTCATCGTTGCAGTGATGCGTGTCTTCTTTGACCCTTAGAGATCCTCGGTCTGCAAGCTAATAAAACTGACATTACACTGTGCATGAAATTTTTATTTTGACTGCTAATTTATGAAATATATTAGCTGAGCTTTATGGATATTAAAGGTGTACTACAGTGATTTACTGCTGCACTTCCATGGAGCTGATGGACTCAGAGGAGACAGATTAAACACAGGAGGACGGTCAAAAATAGCTGCAGTCAAACTCCCATAATGCAATAATTTTGTTGGACCTTCCTAGCTGAATGCTAACATCTTTTAAACTCATCAACGTTGTTTTCTGACCGTAGAAAGCTCCCTTCACAGCAACAGACGACGTTATACAAATGTTGTTGCTGGTTGAGTACTACTCCTCCTGACGGGTAACCTCACATTTCCTCAACAAATGTCCATTCTCTTATTGAGAAGTGATCCTCTGAATGGGGCTTAAACAGGTGGTTTAACTCTTCTTCATGAGCCTTAGAGCAGTGAAGTCCATGTCTGGGTCAAAATGTTTCTTAATAAATCAGTTTTTACATTTCATTCCTAAGTATTGCAGCGTGGTCTAGTAAGGGTACTCTTCTCCACTATGCACTTATCACCTAATAGGCAAAAATAATAATGAATATAGTCAGTCCTTTTTCATTTTACATTATATGACCAGAAATTCAGAGTTTAATGTACTGGATAAATGGAAGGAAATTTTACAAAATTGAAAAGAACAGATACTAATTTCTGAATGAAGTGGAGGCTGAGTGACAGAAATGTTATAATTATAATAGCAAGTGATAAAACAATGGAATTTGACAATAACCTGTTTCTCGAAAGCAGGATCTTGAAAGCAGATGAGAGGTGACTCTCGGCTCATTTTACCATCACACCAATGTTTGCGACGTTAAATACGACAAAGGAACCAAAGTGAAGATCAAACTGCAGCAGCTGCCAAAGCTCAACAAATAAATATGAGAAAGGCTTTATGCGCTTGGTTAGAATACAAGTGAGTTCATTACTCAGTCAGAGCATACAGAAAAGAAAAACTGTGTTCCTGCCAAAACACCTGGGTCACACTGAGGCCGCCCCTCCACAGTGCGTCTCAGACACTGACACCCTGACCTCTGCTGTGCTTGTTGCAGAGCTCCTTCTGCCGTCCTCTCATCTCAGAACAGCGTCTGGAGGACACACAACGGAAACTAAACTCCACACTTTCATGCCATCTTAAAATATAACAAAACTCACCTCACGTCCTCCGCTCAGATGTAATTGAAAATCATGACGTGGCCGGGAAATAATTCACCTGTTGCACCCAGTTTGACCTTCTTTTTTTTTTTTTTGGATTTAGTTTCTTGTGATTATGAGCTGTTCGTAGCCCCTGGCAGGGTGAGATAAAGCAGGATCACTGTGCTTTTTTGAGTTTTGTTTAGAGTGGAATAACCTAACAATTCACCCTGCATTTGCCCTCGGTGTGTGTAAATGTGTAGGTGTGTAAAACGTACAACATAAGCTTGCGCATCTCTGTGAATGTGTGTTTGTGCAGCTTTTCTGGCCCACGGCAGGTTGTGCATTCTGGCCCTGATCCAAGTACCTGGTGCCTGGTATATGTGTGAGCGTGTGTGTGTGTGAGCGTGTGTGTGAGCGTGTGTGTGTGTGGTAACACGCGGCAGGGTGGTGGTGGGGGCGGTTCAGTGGCCGGTTGGAGAGTAGAGCAGTGTTGCAGCAGGACCCCGAAGCATCTGAGCCTAACAAATCCAAAGCAGCGAGGGCAGACATCAGCCTGTGACACCACCCAGGGAGCGCAATGACCACAGTAAACAAAACACACAAACAGACAAGCTCAAAGGCTGGTAGGCAGAAAAATTGATAAAGGTGTATTTATGGTCTCTTCCATATAGGTTGTTTGTCCCTACCATCTGATGCGACCCATAGACTCATCACCTGAAATGGCGTCATGGTCACAATAATTGATGTTACCTGACTTCCTCCTTTGCTCCCATCATAATTACAATGGCTGCCTGAGGTTGCCTAATAATAACTATGGGTTGTAATGAGCTGCTGGCACAGACGACCCGTGGTGTTGTTTTTTTTTTTTTAGAGGAGGACAGTCTCGGCTGTGCATTACCGTTGATGGGAAAGAAATGCTGAGAGGAGCCAAACGCTGCCACACATATCAAAGTTCCCCTTTATTTGCACCTCTGTGAACAATGGCATTTTTGTTTTGACATTTTCTCCCTTCTGCCCCTCAACATTGTCCCTGCAGCAAAATGGTAGAGCTCACACAAAGGTCAGGCTTTTATCATGAGTTTGTTTTCCATCCACCTTGGCTGAAGTACAACCCCTCACCCCCACCCGCCACCCCCCACCCCCCTCCGGAGTAAGAATACAAGAGCAAAGAGGAGCTGGAGAAAGAGAGAGGCGAATGGGAAAAAAAAAGCACTATACAAATTGTCTGAGTTGGCTTCTTGTGCCTTAAGTGAGTGTGCAGCGGTGTTACTGTATGTGTTGCTCCTCTTTCAGACGGGGACTTATTAACCTGCAGATAGGTAAAAGGCTGACTGCATAGTCACTCTGCTGACCCCCCCCCCCCCATTTCCCCGGGGGAAGAGTGAAAAAATACAAAGTGAGTGATCGAGATGTAGGAGTGTTATGCATTACGTTAGACACAAAAAAAAAAAAAATTGAAAGCATCCATCCAGATGACCGGGAGTGGATGTATAGGAGCTGAGAATGCACTTTCGCTGCCATTACCATCATGACCCCTCTTTATCAAATGGTTTCATAGTCACAAATGTTCCCTCTGTGCGTCATTTGAGAGCCATTATCCTGGTCCATTCTTGTACGTGCAATTTGAGATATGGCATTTACGGCCTCCTGCTTCTCTCACACACATGCGCCGGGAGTATGTCAAGAGAGACACCTACACAGCTAAGTACTGCCAGAGTTTGAAAAGCTATAATAAAACATTAGACGGTACAGGCTATGATGGTGCATTTATCTCAAAATCCCCATATTTGGAACTAGTTTGTACAGTTTTTTTCATATTTTAGCACCAACTGAGCACAAGTAACTGTGAAACTGTGGCATTTCTTAGTCGAAGCGCCATACTGATCTAATCTCAATAATGATTAGGTCTAGTTAGTGGATTTCTCCTTGGGTTGATGGCGGTTAGGGTTAATGTGGCATAAACATCAACCTACTTTCAGTTTGTCAAGTCAAATTAAAAACTTTGTTAAGTTGTCAGGACGATGTCAGTTTCATCCACCGCTGTTGACATTTCTGTTTGAAATGGATTCGGGCTTTAGGTCTGGCCCAAGAAGATAACATCCTCATTCTTCTTAATCCTGCCTACCTCAGCTTTGTAGTCAGGACTGATATTAAAGTGTAACTTCACCCAGTCTAAAAATCCTGCGTGCACTGACAACATATACAGCCCTGATGTGCAATTTGTGTAATTAGAATTAAAAGGAAAATCATTGTGCTGTTCTCTCTCTCTCTCTTTTTTTTTTTTTTTGATCCATTGCACCAGAGGCTGAAATCACCCTAAAACACCACCCTGATTCCTTCTACATGTAGTTGGGGGTACGCACCTAAATCTGGGGCGACCATAGATTGTAAATAAAGATGGACAAAGCCTCTGTGACATCAGCCATAGGTTTCTGAAGAGCGGTTTTGAAGCTCAGAGCGGGCTTTTCCACCATCGCTATCTTGGCAGCGCTTGACTCCACCTACCTCCCAGCTAATCCAAAAATAGTCAAAGAGGTGGGGCTTGTGTGGAGCCGAGACTTCAGCCAGTTTGTGGCAAGCATGTCGCCCACCTGTCACTTAAAGCGGCCCCGCCCCCAATTATACAGAATTTTAAGCCTGGATAAAATTCAAAAGGGTGAATGATATAAAAATTCACTCTGTACATTTGTCAAAGGGGGAAATTAGCGATAGAGACCAAAACTGTTTTTATGTACGAGGCTGTGAACATGTTTATTTGTGCTGTAAATAAACATATAAGCATTTTAACGTGAGAGTCTATGGGGAATGACTCGCTTTTGGAGCCAGCTTCATGTGGCCATTTGAGGAACTGCAGTTTTTGCCACTTCCATGTTGGCGTCATGTTTCAGCCCCGGAGGTTGCTGCTTGGTGGGGACACTGTAACTGGTTCTTATACTACTGAGGAGTTAGTTTTTAAACGACCGAAAAAATAGCAGATGTGTGCGACAACTCGGAGATCTGAAACCAGGCCAATTCAAGTCAAAATTGTTTTTTGTTTTTCTTCATTATTTTGACTTTTCTGATCCACCTGTGTGTGTTTCTATGAGCTGCTATGATGTCTGAGAGGGCAGTGACATTTAACAAGGGCAGAGGTGAACAGGAAGGTGCCAACAACAACAACAACAACAACAACATCCCTGCCCTTTTTATTCTTCAGTTTTGGGGCTTTGTGATGGAGCTGGAGGCAAGTGACACTGAGTGGCAGCATCAAGTGAAGGCTTCATGTCTTTTCCTTTGTTTTTCATTATTTATGAGCTTTTTCCCTCAATTTACTTTTGCACAAATTGCATATTAGAATAGGTGGGTGTACGTGCATGTACAGAGAGAGAACTAAAGATGTAGAAAACCCTGAATATAAAATGGCCACAGTTAAACACTCCCGCTGATTCAAACCTCTTCTACTCTCCCTTGCTGCTCAGTAAGAGTCTCTTGTTTGCAAATGACCTAAAGTGTGCGCTGTGTGTGCGTGTGCATGTGCATGTCCATGTGCATGTGTGTTTGTGTGTGTATTGGTGAACAAGGAGTCAGCGTAAGAGACGGGTTCTCAGGTCTTTTTGATCCCTGCAGAATTTTGTTCTGGCCAGTTTATGTGGCGCCTCAGGCCAGCTGTGAAACAGGGGGTTGAAAACACATTGAGCAAATAAAGGTATCCGCGGTGTAATCCTTTTAGAATGGCTGGGCTTTTGAAGTGAAGGCCGCCGTCTTATGGAACTTGAGGTGCACTATGCACAGTAATCTGGTTACAGAAACGCACACGTGTGTGTGTGTGTGTGTGTGGCTACTTGTGCATGTGTGTGACTGATGAAACACTTAACACATACAGCAGCAGGTCCTGGAGAACAATGTGTCCTTGTGTCTCTTTTTATATAGTCGACTTTATCCGTCTTTTTCCTTCTTTTTTTTTCTATTGATCTTTACATTCATTTTACTTTCAGTCTCCTCTCCACCTTCTCTACCCTTTCATCACTCAAATATATCCAATCAAAAGCCCACTCTTATAAGCTCTTTCACTCTTTTCATCTTAGTTGCTTAGTTATGCCATGAACACATACTCCCCCCCCCCCCCCGAACACACACACACACACACACCCTTAAGTTCTCAATAGCACTTAGTCCCCCGTGTTTCTAAGACTGTGTTCCTGATTCCTCCTGGCAGTCCATTCCATTTTGCCTCTCTCTATCTTTCTCATATCACTCTAAAAATCGAAGGCAAGTGGGCAAGGAGATGTGATGAGAGGAAGAGAGTATCCCTACTGGGACTCTCTCTGGACCTCTGTAAAACACACACACACAGACAGCACATGCACACGCACGTCACACACACAAAAGTAGTTCATCTCTCCTCATCCTGGAGGGATGGAGGGAGGGAGGGGAAAAGCGAGAGACAGCCTGAAAACTAAGACTTGTAATTTCTTCTCCTCCCCCAAGTGCCACTTATTTCCCAAAACAGATAATGCAGAGGAGAGAGCGAGAGAGAGAGTGGAAGTGGGGGGTGGGGGGCGTGAGGTTACAGGAAGAAATAGATTCCAGCTTAACGATGGTGGGATTTGTGGAGCACGCAGAGGGAGTGGACCTGTACCGGTGCTTCCTGTAACGATGGTGACATATATGAAAGTGAGAGAGCAACGTTTGGGGAGATTGTTCTACTGGTCACCTGCTGAGTGACGGGAATAAACATACTTCATGTGTCCCTGGGAGATGATTGAATAAGTCCAACATCTCAGACAGTTTGCCTCAGTCCATTGTCACCGACGATAAAGAAACTCAGTGAATGAATGTGTTTCTCTAAAATAAACTGGACAAAACAGACATAATGAACCGTAGAGTGAAGGACACTTTGACTGTACGAAGCTGCAAGTTATATAATGACGAAAAAATATTTTTTTTAAAGATGAGGAAGGCAGTTGTCAGTTGAAGACAGTTGTTAAAATTTATTGATGGAATCCAGCTTGTACTTTCAACAAAATAGGGACGAGCTCGTCTTCAGTGGTCTAATGATGAAAGCTCTACATATTTAATGCAACAGAGTCTGTTTCAAAGAACGTTCGAATAGTACTTTGGATAATAATGTTGGTTATTGATGTTAAGCACCCACTGCCTGTTGCACCAACTGCAAAGCTCAGTTGCAACTAGTTAGTTTCAACCTAAACTCTCCGTTCTGTTCACTATAGATTAAAAACATGCAGCAGGTTACTGTGACCCATGGTTACGTTTTGTTGTTGGACGACTGATCGCGGCCGCAGTAATTATGACAGGAGCAAAGGGGAAAGTGATTCTCATGTGAAACTAACAGTTTATGTTTTTTCTCTTATCCACGACTGCTGGACAAATTCAACCACATTGTTACTATTGTAACCATGACAACAAAGATCGTCTAATGATGAGGAAGTACTTATTTTGTTACCATTTAGTAGTTTTTGTGCCCTCTCTGTACAGTCCGTTTGTTTATTATTGTAACCATGACGATAAAGGTCCGGTCCGCCTGATGCCGTAGGGGGCACCATTTCAGGAGACTCCTATGGGTCGTATCAGAGGGTGGAAAACAACAACATCATGTCCACTACCTCACTGATGACCAAAGCTTCTGTTGTACTTCCTTTTGTTTTTTTTTATTGAGATGCAAACGGACGTATCACACGTATACAACAAGTCGTCCAAATGAAACAACAACATACCTTGTTTCTCCTTTAGAGCAACACACAGAAGTGCTTTCTGCTCTGACTCAGGATGTGACAGC